GGTCTTGAGAGGATCTGAGTCCCTGGATCTGAGACCCCACTGAGCTGGAAAAGGGGCTGAGGTGGCAGCTGGGGACGTGGAATCTCCAAACCAGCCTGGGGTTTGAGAGTGCCGGAGTCTGTGGTTTCCATTTAGACCCCTCTCAGCAAAGCGTAAGGCAAACATTTGCCACCTCCTCTCTGGCTCCACTGAGGTCCGTCTGGTGTGAAGTTGAGTTCACTCTGAAGCCACTTCACCTTTTTCGAGGCGTGGGCAGTGCCAGTGGTGGCCTCCCCTCCCGGGCACCCCTTCTGGAGGGCATCTCTGAAAGCAGTTTGGCAAAGGGGAAGGTGAGGGGAAAAGCTTTCCTCTGCTCTTCTTCACATTTGTGCAACCTGTGACTCAGCCCTGTCAGCTCCTTCCCTTGTGTTCATCACTTCAGGAAGCTTCATCTCTGCTTCTGTACTTCCCTGGGTGACCCTAACAACCTTCTTTTTCCAGTTCACTTCCCTTTTGCCCTGCTTTCTCCTGAATGATGGTGGCACGGCTCTTTTTTGGGGGAGAGGTCCTTTTCAAAGGTGTTTCTTCTGTGTCTGCTTCAACTTGACTTCCCTGCACAGTTCAGAGGACATCTTGCATTCATCTCATGCCGGCTGTTTTCTCCTGACCCTCCTCCTTCTCCTGCTCCACCTCCTTCTCTCTTTTGTGCAGGACTTCTTGGACTGCTCCTGGTTTGCTTTGAGGACATGCCCAAGTAAGCGTGTACAGGGTCCCTCTTTCAGTAGTCCATGAAACATCCATGTGAGGTTCACTCTGTTTGCTTTTATTTCCAGTTTTCTGAGAAAATGCCCCTAGACTGTACACAGTCTGGGGCAGCAGCATTTTTCATGTGTCCCCCCTTAGACGTTCTCTCAGCTGAGATGGAAAGACCCTTTCCCATATCTCCAAAGTGAAATAGAGACATGCACTCTATAGATGTGTCTTTTTCTTGCCAGCCAGTACACTACATAGCTTAAAAGGACCCAAAGTCATTACCTGCTTTCCTATTAGTCTCCTAAGGGATGGATTTGGAAAAGCTTATTCCCCTCACCCTCTTCTTTGGAAGCGATCTGTCTGTTCTGCAGGGGGGGGCGGAAAAAAGCCTGCGGTCTGGATTTTATGTGTGCCGAGAGTTTCCTTTTCACCGCTCTCAACTCTTGTGTGTGTGCAGGTGACCGGACCTCCTTCCGAGTTCAGGTTCGGCAGGTGGAGGACTATCCCGTGGACCTCTACTACCTGATGGATCTCTCCCTGTCCATGAATGACGACCTAGATAATATTCGCAATCTGGGGACCAAGCTGGCTGAAGAGATGCGAAAGCTCACTAGCAATTTCCGGCTGGGGTTTGGATCTTTTGTGGACAAAAACATTTCTCCTTTCTCCTACACGGCACCAAGATACCAAAACAATCCCTGCATTGGGTAAGTGGTAGGTGTACCCCAAAGGGACAAGCCCTGTGTTTGCACAGAGCCTGGCTGCAGTCTTCTCTTCCCATTCTTGTTTTAAATAATGAACCACACTTAAGCCCCGGCTTTTGGGAATGCTGATTAGCCACGGCTGTTGCTGTTATGTTCTAGAGCGATTCAAAATAGGACAACTTCCAATTTTGCAGTGGCTGTTGGGAGATCTCTGCATCTAGAGATGAGAAACTGTTGTATCGGAGCCTGAAGCTATTTTTAAGTACCTGAAGAGGATGCAGACATAGCAGGCTTTTTTACAGACTTTAAGAAAAAGGAGCAAGAGCCAGAAATTCCTGATTTCTGATCCTAGCTCTGAGTCATAGTTTGGCCTTGAGTAGATCAATTAAGCTCTTTGTCTCCATTTTACAGATAAGGAGACCGAGGCAATGTAAGACCTTCCCAACAGAAGTGTTTGGGGGAAGTGAGATTTGTGAGGGCCTGTAGGACTGATTAATGAGTTCTTGCAACGTGTTTTGAAGATGTCAGACAGGTTTTTTCATCTTAATTGCTGTGGAAGGAAAGCAAACTGGCAGTCGCAAAAGACACAAATGGTGCGGTTTGCTTTGCGGTGGCATCAGTCTTCCTCTTTTTTTTTTTTTTTTGCTAGAGTCTTTTTGTTTGCCCTTTAACCGCTGGAGTCGGGATCAAGTCCATTGAATCAAGGATTATGCCGGAGTGAAATTGAGTGTAGTGGAGGGTGTCCAGGCTCAGATGGGTTTGGATGTTGGCAGGAAAGGATGGATACAGCAGCAAGTGCTCTCCTGGGAGAATGTCACTGTTGACATTTACCTTCACGGTGCTGTCTTCACCTCATCCATCCTTGGGGTGCTTCCTGGTCATGTAAGGGCAGTAAGGTTAGCACTTTTGTTTGAGCCATTCGTGGGTACTTACATTGTAAGATCACAGCACAGATGGATGCCAAGCTCTGCAAGTGTGCATCCTTTAAGTTTTCCATATGAGAGGCAGATTAAAGGGAGCTTGCATCAGCTATGAGTTTCTAGGCCAACTTTTGGCATTGACCAAGCATTTGGCATCTCATTGCACATTGACCATTGACCAGACAAAATTATCTGTATTCTTTTTTCACCAGTTCTGTCCGAAGAGGAAAATCAAATAGATTTTAACACTAAAAACTCATGCTTTGGCCGTGAAGCATAGCCAAAACTGACCATGCTGACTGAGCCAGGGAGGTGGCTCTCTTCTGCCACGGCACCATACACCACGCTCTTCATAGCACTTCCTCCCAAAAATTTGGCGTGGCCTCAGACGGATGCGCTTAGTCATCTGTGTCCTCCTCAGTCTCCATCACCTGCTCATGTTGCTCGCGGGCAGGGACAAGGTTTCGCTCCAGTGGGGGAAATCTCGGAAACATTTTTTGGCTGGTGTGTGACTTAATTGAAGTGACATGGCTTTTGCCAAGTGAAATAGGGTGAAAGGAGCAGGAGGGGAGGGCAGGGATGAGAGAGGAGGAGAGGATGGAGCTGGACAATTCTGCAGCGAGGCATGCCTGAAACTGCTGATGCTCTTTCATTGAGGGCATCCAGAACTGTTGCCTTGTCTTCTCCCACCATGATCAGGCTATCTGCATGTCTTTTTGACTTTACCCAGGTGGTTGCTATTCTGTTTATGGGTTACATTAAGCCAGCCTGGTCTTGGGAAACCATTTAGGAAGGATTGCCCAAGGCAGCTCATCTGGTGGGCGCTCCCTTCCAGTCACCATCTGTCTCCTCTTCATCCAAACCAGGGGTGCTGGCTCCTCGTTGTTCTCCAGCGGCGTTGCCTTCCCCTGCCTGCTCTGCAAGTGGGCTGTCGCTGCTGCCAGGTGGCTCGCTGATGTGGCAGCGAGGTGGGGTTTTGTTTGCAGCTATTTCTGGTGTCAAAGCAGACTTTGTCCAGTGGCCTGCTCGCATCTGAAAAAAGCTGCAAGTAAACATGAGCTGTGGTGGGTGTTTTTTGTCCCCAGTCGAGGCTCTCTCCTCCTTCTCTTCCTCATGGTGATGGCCGTCTGGGTCAGGTGTGGCTGTGTTTTCGTGTGGGGTCTGGCTGGGATCCCTTGTGCCTCCTCCATCCCACCCCAGTTCACTGCTCGCCCCTGCTCCTGGCTCAGCATCCCAGCTGGGACCTCCCAGGGAGCCAGGATGTGGCCTCTCACAGCCACGGTGTCATTGAAGAGATAATACAAAGGAAACAAACACTAAATTAAAAAAGATAAGGAAGGCAGAGAGTTTGACTGAACGCCCAATTGCCCATCTATCTGTGATACGACTTGTGGAGGTTACAGCCTGAGATAACCCACCCACACTGCTGTGTGCCCTTGCGTAGTCACTCAGCTATCCATCGTCAGTCCTGCTGCTGCCTGCAGCTTCTGCCAGCAAACCTGGAGTGTAAAACAAACAAAAAAGGATTAAATTATACATCTTCATGGGATGTGGGACCCTATAGTGTGTCAGTGTTTTCTTCCTGGACCAGGGCTCTGGCAAACCGAGCACCCAGATGTATCGTATGAGTTAAGGGCTGCTTACTGAGACCCTGCAATGCAGAGGTTTCAGACATCGTATGCTGCTTGCCTTGGCCCTGGATGCGAGGGGGATGCAAGTCTGAACGTGGGGCTGATCACAAGGGATGGCTCTAATTGCCAGCCGGGCCCAGGGCAGTGGGACCTGCCCCATGGTTAGGTGTGTGCATGGCTGTGCGGGTGGAAATCCCTGCTCTGGGTCCCTTATGAGGGATTTGAGGTCCCAGCAGTGGTAAATCTTAAATACTCCTTTGTGTAAAAAGCCTCTTACAGCTTACCCATAGTGGGTCATGTGTCAGCAGAGGCCTTTAATTGTTCTCCGGGTTTTATCTTTGAAGATAAGAGTGAATTAGTGCCAGCCCAACTCCTTTTTAAACACATTTTCTTCTTAACACTTCTCGTCCCTCTTCCCTGCACACACTCACTGATTTCCCATGCCGCAGGAGCTGCTCTATTGAGCTCTCCCATCCACGTGGTGAGCACCAAAGCTGCCTCCCGACTGTTTTGTGTGGAAAAAGAAGTTTTCCTGGTAGCCTGCCGAGGCATTTCTCTGCCTTAGGATGCCACTCCTACCTTTCCGCTACAGCGGCGCTCTGAAAAGCGGAGATGGTGTTTGCTCACTGGCCTTGCAGGGAGAGTGGGAGGATGCATGAGTTGGTGTTAGTTATTAACACATCTCGTGGTGTGCAATTGCCAGGTGCCTGGTGATGTGCAGTGGGTACAGGGTGGCACGTATTGCTAAGGAAACTGGATGACAGAGTGAAAATGCATGTTGAAAAATAGGGGAAAAGTAGCTGTCGGCAGTGATGCTCCTGCGTGGTGCCCTTTGACACCAACCTGCCATCCTGGGCTGCTGGGGAGGATGGCTCTGGCCCTCCTGCCACAATGTGCCCCCTGCATCACTGTGGGTCGCATCCTGCACTGCAGACTTCCAGTGTGAAAACCACTTTATGGGTGCTGAAACTCCAGAGCTGCATGGCCCGGGGCTTGGTGTCTCCACTCGGACCTTACGTGGAGAGAGACGTTTGGTCCTGGTGAGATCTCTGGAAACTTCAGCTGCTCAAAGACCCTGGGTGGGGAACCAAAAAGATGGGCTCTACTGTAGAGTTTTGTAGATAAATAGTCAGAAATCAAAGTGTCCAAAACATGAAGCCTTGTGGAAGTATTTCATCCCTCTGAACAGAGGTTTGGAGACCAGCCTGGTAGAGTTAGGAGCTTCTGCAGCTCTTGGCTGCTGGTGGGGTTCCTCCTACCTGACCACTCCTCTGTTCCTCCTGCAGTTACAAGCTGTTCCCCAGCTGCGTCCCATCCTTTGGCTTCCGCCACCTCTTGTCCCTAACAGATAAAGTTGACCGTTTCAACGAAGAAGTTCAGAAACAGAAGGTTTCCCGCAACCGAGATGCTCCAGAGGGTGGTTTTGATGCGATTTTGCAGGCTGCCGTGTGCAAGGTGAGTCGCTCGGATTTCTGGGGTTTAAAGGCAAAGCAAAAGAGGAGGAGGTTTCTTCTGCTCTGTTCTTTGACCAGGGTAAGGCTTCAGTATGCCATTTCTTGAAAGTAACTACTAAATTTTTCTTGCAGAAACCATGAGAGACGCCTTCAAAAGTAGAGGCTATTGTTTTCATGTGCTTTTGTACATGAAAAGGCAAAGGAAAAAAGGTTAATGTCTTTTCTAGTTTAAAAGGGTAAAAACAGAGCTTTTGCAAATGCAAATTTAGGGCTGAGATTTCATTGTGTGATTAGACTTGTAGGTGCTGATCCCTGAGCACCTGGGATGAAATCCTTTAAGATTCATGCACACTTGTGTGCAGCAGCAGTGTGTGTTGGCTTAATGCGTTTCTTAAGTGTGTGTCAAACACATCTTGCATCAGTTGACCCGTGTTGAGGGTTGGAGCTGGTTCCTGCTGCTCTTACCCGCCCCCTTGGGCGTGTGAGGCTGGATGATCCCACCTCCAGGCACTGATAGCCTGCCCTCCCTTATTGTCAGAAAAACTGGAGCTGTGCACAGTAATTAAAGACAGAGTTCGTTAGCTTAGTGCCATGTTAGCCATGTCCTTAGGGTTTTTGGAGATGTTTGCTTGAAGACCTTCAGGTGGGTTGCTCTGTATTCCTTTGTGTGTCAGGGATGGAAGTGTTTGCTCCCCTCTGCCATGTGGCTGAGCTGCTCTGCTCGCCAGAGACAGCTCTGGTTGGTTTTTCCCCTCTTGACATACAGTTTTGTTTTTGTTTGCTCCAGCCTTGCATTGTCCTTTTTGATGGGCGTGTTTTCTTCTGAGTCTGGATTGTGGGAGCCAGGAGATAGGCATCGTCTGCAGGAGTGCTGGGACGCAGGCTTGTGGGAAACCAGATCTGCCCTCACCTGGGTTGGCTGCATTTACGCTTCATGTTCGTGACAGGATTGAACCTGCCCTGTTGGATCTGGTGCCACCCAACACTCATCTTCCCTCTCCCATCCTGGCACAGATATTGTTGTTGGCGCAACTACAGTGCTGCTCCCGATACTCATCTGGGTATAAAGTGCTTCTCAGTTTTGGAGAGGTGGCTCTCATGGTTAGAGCAGAGACATCTCAGGATGGTGACTCAGATGTGCCACCCACCATGTGGTTTTTTGCAGTCCCTTCCACCACGTTATTGCAAAAATGGGACAACGTTTCAGAAATACTGCGATGTGTATCACCAGGGCTCATTTTGGAGGTGTTGCTGGAAGGCAGGAGACCTGCAAGATATTTCCTGCACATTTGTGCCAGTCTCAAACTGTTGGCGAGGAACCAAAATCTTTGTGGTTCTTGAGTGCTCAGCCTGGTCCCTTCTAAATTCAGAAGATGAATTTAGATGCTGGTGCCATCTAAATTCAGGACTGAGCATCCTCTAGGAAGGGTGAGCAGAGGTGAGCATGTGTGCTTGTGTGGCCCTTGGCGTGATGTGGCAGGTCATGACAGAGGAATTTCGGCAGCCGCGGTGGTTAATTAATTACCGGAGCTTGGGGGTGGCAAAGAAAGTCCATGGGACTGGCGTGTGAGGCAGGAGAACTGGCTGCACCGCAACTTGTGCTGCCTTGGCAGCCCCTTGCTGGCGGAGCAGCTGCCTGGTGATCATAGGCACGAGCAGCAAAGGTTCTGTCCATCCAGAGTTAGAACAGCCAAAATTTTAGGCCAGCTGATTGACCTCCTAAGCCCTACAGCCAAAACAGGAGCTTTGTGATTAGTTTCTGTCACAGTGGCCGAGTGATGGCCCAGACCAGTCGGCGGCTGCGGGTTGTGGTGGGGCTCAACACCATCGAGGCGGGTGAAGGTGGCAGACATCTGGGGTGGCAGTGAAGTGTCACTTCCTAGTGAGGATGCTCTTTGCTGCAATGAATGGTGCTTTGCATCCAGTGGTGATTAATGAAGTATCATGGGGACTAAACCCTGCACGGACAGTACTTTCTGGTAACTGAGGAGCTGTTTTCCTTGGTGCAGGGTGACCAGCATACAGGTACCTTGGTGCCTTCTGGGGTGGGTTTCCTCATCACTACTGTGGCACCCCATTGCCTCTCTCTGGCATGCTCCAGCTTTTTCCAGCTTTCACCCTCTCTACCATATTCAAAACCCAAGACTTAAGGCAGTTATGACCTTAGAAAGTCCCCTGCCTTCGGGGCAATGCAGCGTGTTGACCGTGAAGTACTTTGTGCTCAGCAGCAGAGTTTGTGGCATCAATGGGGGCATCCCGGGGAGAGCTGGCGGTGGCATGGCAGAGCCTCACTATTTCCAAGCCACGGTGTCCGAGTGTGGTCTTCTCCCCTTCAAGCGCTGAGGTGTCAGAAACAATACCTACTCTGTTGACTAGGTATTTTTATACTGTAATTCATATCAAGCATTTCTTCTGCATGAGCTTTCTAAGAGCTCTGTAATGCACAAGTCATTTTTTGGCCTGGTTTTCAACCCGAGGAGTGGGGAAAGTTTGCACAGCTAATACAGACTAACGAGCAGGCCCGGGGTTTGGCTCCTTTCTGAAAGATGAAGATATGGTAAATGTTATTCTGGAGGCAATGAAAGAGCCAGAGACAATAAGCCTTTATCCTGATGCTAAAATGGTTAGCCAGGAATATTAATCAACCTTCTGCAATTATATTTTCCATTTGCAGTATTTTGGTTTTCTGCCATTCTTTAAGTGCAAGCATCGTATGGCTTGGTGGTATATATAAGTTTCAGATCTTATATACTAAGATGCAGCAAGGAGATAATGCTGGATTAGAAAATAAAGTGTCTTTTGAAAGAGTTTTGACGGGTGCTTGCTACATGGAGATGGCCAAGACATCTGGGAGACACTGAGGTGCCTTTCAGAGCGATGCAAAACGAAGGAGGTTTTGGCTTTTAATCTCTAAGGCATACTTGTCTTGCACCTGTATCTATTCCTTGCTTCCAAAAAGGCCTACACCTGAGAAACTAGTGGGGTTTTAGACATATTGATGAATCCAGGGGGGTCTCCTGGCAGTTGATGTCTTGGCAATTGAGCCCTTTTTATTCAGCACCCAAAGCATAAATTTAGATATTTATTTCAGGCTTGGAAATACTGATGCAGGGTTTTGCAGCCTTTTCAATAGGATTTGGAGGGCTGGGCTATGCTGAGATAGCTGTGGCAGTTTTGCCAGTCACTGTTGGCTGTAAGGAGTGAGAAGCTGGCCTTTCAGGGTATGGGAGGCAACTGCAGCTGGTCGCAGGAGCGTGGATCTGTAGTGTGCCCAGCCCTGCGGAGACGTGTCTTCCCACGTCACTCTGCTTTGGGTCAGGTCCCACCCCTGCTTTCAAAATCCTTTTTTATCCCATGAAGATCAAAAACCAGACGAGGGGGCAGACGTCAGTGCAGGTTTTTTGTTCAACAATCCCAGTCCAGTAAAAATAAATGAAAGTCTTTTTGGTTATTTGTTTTAAATGGAGCAGAGTGCTGCTCTGGGTTTTGCGGTGGAAACTGCGTGCTGAAGAGCTGTATTTTCCAGCGCCTGCAAGCTGCTGGCGGAGGCAGCGTGAGATGCGGCGGCTCCTCAGTGCGCTGGCCTCTCCGGGTGCTTTTTCCGTAGGTCTCCAGCTCTTTTTGGTGTGGCATCGGCACCGGCTCGGCCACCTCATCTGAGACACCCTGGTCCGATGCTCCAAGGCATCAGATGCTCTCAGTGCCCTGATATTGGCACTGATACTGTGGGAGCTCGTTGCTTTTTGGAAGCGAGTTCCTGAACTGAGCAACCAAAGCTTTTTCTGATGTTGTTTACATGGGAAAGTGTGTGTCGGAGACACGGAGAGTTTGTCTGGAAAGGGGTGCTTAGCCTGAGAATTAAAGGTGGGCTTAGCAGGCAGGTGAACAGAAGCATTATCCCTGAAGTGGCTTCATAACTGCTGCTTGAATGCAGCTCATTTTCTTTGTGCGTACCACATTTCTAAGGAAATGAAACTCAAATTAATCCTTTTAATCTCTTCGGGACTTTCTTGGCCTCAATTGTTTAAAAAGAAAAGAAATCAGCTTTGGATACACAAAGGAAAGTGAACTGGATGGGCTTCTGTCTGGTGGCTGAGTAGACCAACAACTGCTTCCCGCATTGTTAGAGTCGTAATCACTTTTGGGTTGACTTCTTAAGACACTACATTTTGGCATGAAGATTTTGCCTTTTGTCCAGTGGGGTCACTTCAGTGGAACGACTCCTGCTTCCCAGAGCAAAAAAGTCCTCGCTGCATACTGAGCTGGACTGTAATGTGCTGGTACACGGCAAAGGATGTGTGTTGCCAAAGATTTCTTCCTATGGCCTTACTTGCATTGCGTAGGTCTTTAAAATACCATTAAAGAAAGAATATCTTCTGCAATAGGGAGGAAAAAGGAATCTACCCTGGAATAGTGTCCCTGAAGCAAGAGTTATATTTATCAGAAAGATCAGCAGGCTTTGGGCTGTGACTCACATTTGCAGGCAAAAATTGCACTGGCAGCCGTGATTCTTCATCCTTCTGCCTGCTCTGCCCTCTTGCCCTGCCCACACCAGCGCTTTCTATAGGAAGTGTCTTTGCAGCTGGGCTGAGGCAGCTCGTAGGCTAGCATCTTACTGTGGAACAAGGCAGATGTCAGATGTTGCTAAATAGGCTGAGCAGTGAGCTCTGGAGGAGTTGGGTATATTCATCTGCCCTGCCTTCCCATCAGTAAGCTTTTACCAGCTTTTCCCTCATCCCTTTCCAAGGGATTTGCGCTGTTGCTCTGAGCCAGGGGCTGGAGGGATGCTGAATGTGTGTGGGGAGGGAAGGCGTGGGGCTATGTCTTTGCCGGCAGATGGGCAGGGTGGCCAGCCCAAGGGGAAGCTCTGGGAGATGGGGCTTTCTGGCTCCAGTCTCTGCCGCGGCAGGATCTCCCTGCCGTGGTTGGCAGGTGGGACTTCAGCCCACCTGGCTTGGCACGAGTTGGCAGTGGGAGCAGCCAGCGAGCCAGGGGAGTGTGCTGCAGCGCTATGGTTTCCAAATATTTCCTTTGGGCTTCTCCATTTCCTTCCACTTCCATTGCAACAAACTGCTTCAGTGTGCTGTTGTAGGCGCAGATCTGCTTCTCGAGCCGATGCAAAGCCGGAAACCTGGGGAAGCTCCGTGGGAGGGAAATGTTTATCGTCTAAATCTTATCCCTTTACTTGAAAAAAATCTGTCCCTGCATCTCTCTCCATGCAAAGATGGTAATAATGTCTGGTCCTTACTCAGAGGGACCAAGGAGGGTTCAGAGGACACTTCCTGTGCTGTGCTTGACATCTCAGTGCTTTCATAGGGACCACTAGAGCATGGCTTGGAATTAGCATGTTTTTAAATATGCAGAAGTTGCTCACAGCAGAGCTGTGCGGGGCAGTTGTGCGTGGATTAGTGCAGGCAACCACTGCCAAAGCTCCCACTGCTGCGCTCTGCTCCAGGTGCGTGTGCCCCTGCTCTTCTGGGCTGTGGTGCAGGGGGATTGAGCTGTTCAGGGCACGCGTAGTGGTTGCACAATGAAATTGCAGGAGGCTTGGAGACACCATCGCTTCCAGAAGATGTGTGCAGAAGGGGACTGGGGCAGAGTGCCTGTGCATGCATGTGCATGCATGTGGGTGCACCAAAGCCAGCACCCTCAGGCAGGGACCTCACTTTGTGCATCACAGCTCAGGAACAGCCTTTATGAGCGGGCAGTAATGAAAATGCTGAGCGGGGATATTGCAGCTCTTGCTGTTGGCTTGGCCGCTCTGCGGAGCTGAGGAAACAAGGTCAGATTAAATATGTGTGGAGGAATTTGGCAGGTCTCCTTTGGCTATAAAAGCAGCTGAAATTCTTATTCTTGGATCTGGGTAGAGAAGGTCTGGTGGACAGTCCACATACCTCCTCAAGCCTTTTTAAGTAAGTGTGTTAGAAGATGTTGGGAAATGCTAGATGGGCCCCTGACGTTTTGTTTTCTTGCCAGGGATGGGTGGACAGGAGCATGGTACTCTTCTATTTAGTGCTAATGGTCTGCTGCTGGATGGGAGCGTGGCTGGGACCACGTGCAAGGCAAGGGGCGAAGCGTAGGCTTGGCAGGGGCAGACCGACTGTCTCACAGGGTTTGTTTTCCCCCAGGAGAAGATCGGCTGGCGTAAGGAGGCGTCTCACCTGCTGGTCTTCACGACGGATGACGTGCCCCACATAGCCCTGGATGGGAAGCTGGGGGGGCTGGTGCAGCCCCACGACGGCCAGTGCCACCTGAACGAAGCCAACGAGTATGGCGCGTCCAGCCAGCTGGTGAGGGGGAACATGGGGGGCCAGGCCTCAGAGACTTTGGGGTGTTGGTGGACCTCTCTGGAGACCAGCCACCCCCAACTCCAGCAGCTTTTGTCAAATGTAGCCTCTGACCAGCATGGTTTTACCCAGTTCTGCAGTTTGCAAATAAAATTTGCCGTTCCCCTTGGGCATCCCCCTGCAGTGAATGCTTCTGTGATGCTCAAAAATAGGTTAGGAGCTTAGCAGGTTTCTTCAAGGCTCATTGCAAGGGAGGGAAAAGTAACTTGGTGTCCTGAAGAGCATCATATTTGCTGCAAAGTGTAGAGGAAACATCAAATATGTCATCTCTTTTCTAAAATGTCCAGTGAATTGTCAGCTTCTCCCCGGGGAAGCTGAGCCTACCTTGGTGTGGCTACAATAGCAAGCACAACAGGACGCTCCTCCCATTTACAGCCTTTGAGCTCAACACTCACAGAGGTCTTAAAAGGGCCCACTTGTCTATTTATTATTAATTTAAACTCAGTGGAGGAAACTTCTGGGGTGAATGAGCACTTGTCTGCCACCTAATTATCACATCCTTCTGCAGAAGGGTGCTTTATTCAGCAGGTCACAAGCACTACTTAATGATTTTTGGTCCTGCAGGGATGTCGCCCCCTAAGAGGAGGTGTTTCTGGATGGCTGCATTATGGCCAGAGGCTGGGATCCTCAGATAAACCCTCTTTCCACCCCCGGTGCAATCCTAGCAAGTGTATACATAAGGGAGCACAGCCCTCGTACTGACGTGGAGTTACGCTGGGTAGCTGGCATGGGGATGCTGCCTTGCTGTTTCCATGTTTGAGTCTTGGAGGCTCTCAATCAGCCCTCCAGTCTGCAAGTAAATAAGGTGTTTTTAAATGAGGACAGCGCTTCAGAAGAAGCCTGGGGTTTTAAACTCAAGCTGGTCTCTTGAAAGTGAGCCCTGGTTCATTATTCTGTTGCTTGTGGGTAGCTAGAGCAGTATCTTCCTGCCATCCTCTCTGTCTGGGAAGTCTGCAGAATTAAAGAGCTTATCGTAATCTCTTTATGGTTCCAGTATGCAGAAAGAGCAGGCGATGGGTGTTTCTGCTTTGGGAGAAAAATCATACATTTCCACTTACTGCAGTTCTAGACCTCCTTGCGTCGCATCCCTGGAGATAGCAGCCAGCTTATTACACACGTGTGTCTGCTGATGGCAAAGCAGAAAGAGGAAAGAAAGAAATCCAGCATTTCAGGTGTTGCTGTAGCTAGTGGTGTTGTCAGTCATATATTCTAGTGAAAGGCACAGCAGAATTACTTAAGGGATGACAGAATTTCTACTATTTCAGATGGGATTGTGCTGGTACGTCAGGGACTTCATCCTGCAGCGAAACATGCTATGTGTCTGGAACGAATTTTGCTGTTGGGGGGAGAAGAGCAATGAAATTAGTCTTTGTTTCTGTGTTACGCATCAGTCTTTCTGCCCTTTTTGTGCCCCTAGGATTATCCTTCCCTGGCGCTTCTTGGGGAGAAACTTGCTGAAAACAACATCCACCTGATTTTTGCTGTTACAAAAAGTCATTACGTCCTGTACAAGGTAAGCGCCGCCGAGCCGCCCGGGCTGGGGGGAGATTTAAATGCCTCGTGAAAGCATCTTCCTGTCAGCACCGTGGAGCGGAGGCAGCCGCAAGCGCTCATGTGTGCGGCCGCACGCACAAGCGCACGTGGCCACGCGCTGCCCATGGGGCTGGCAGGGGCAGGCAGATGCAGGCAGGCGAGGCTCAGCCCGCCGGCCCTCCCCGCTAGTTGTTTCAGCGAAAAGCACTAAAGCTTCTTAGAGCAAAGAGATATATATGTTGGTGAGCATGTGAAGACCTAAAATAGACTCCAGCTTAATCTTGATGTTTGGGTGGCTGCCAGCCGTGCAGCATGCGAGAGAGCAGAAACCTGTTCAACCCATTCTGCAGTGACTTAATCCCATTACCTAATCGCACGCAGCGTTTCTGCCCAGCTGTGTTTTTCCATCACAGAGTCCAGGCCCCCGACGCGCCACATACAATTTGAACTCCCTCGAAAGAAAAAGGTGACCCAAGCCGCAAGGGCCGGCCTGTGTCTGGAGCTGTCCCGTGGGGTTTTGCTCCTCTGCGGATGTGGGGAGGTGTTTCAGGCGGGGTCGCTTTCGGAAAACTCTGCTCCAGCTCTCGAGGCTCGAGCAAAAACAACAAGCAGCCGCGTTGCTACAGTCGAGACGCTGCCGCTCACCCGTGGAGAGCGGGAGGGCTGAGCTCATTCTCCACCCCCTCTCCAGGGATGCTCGTGGGTTGTGAGGTGAGACGGGGCAGCTGCACCTCCCTCCCCACGGTGCCAGCTCTCCTGAGTGCACAGCAGCTGGGTTTTGCCTCCCTTGGCAGCAGCCCTGGGTCCGTTAGTCCCCATCCCGTGGCCATGAGCTTTGTTTAGCATTTGACGTGCTGTGTTAGCAATGCTTTGCTTTCAAAAGCTTCACGTTAATGGGAGCCAAGCTGACCATGTACACCATCGGACGATGGGGCAGGGGTGTGGCTGGTGTCCCTGGTGTGGGGTCGGTCCCTCCTCGCCCTCTGCTTTCCTCTCTGCATCTCAGCATTTTCTTTCATTTTCTTTTTTTTTTCCCAAGAACTTTACCGCCTTGATTCCTGGGACAACAGTGGAGATTTTGCACAAAGACTCCAAGAATATCATCGAGCTGATCGTCAAGGCCTACAACGTAAGTGCATTTTAATACTGCAGCTGCTGTCATGCGAAACACCAAGAGCTCAGCTGGCTCGCCTCTCCCTGGCGTGCTCCACCCGGCTTGGCCACCTCCCTCACCGGTCCTCCACACGCTGGCAGAGCTGGGGCATCCACCCTGGGGAGGGAAACAAGCTGTGTGAGGTGGAGAAGGAGCACGGGGATACCCAAGGGAGCCTGCGGTGAAGCAGAGATTTCACCTCACATCTCTCATGTGCAGAATTACCCTCAAAATACAGCCTTGCTCTAAAACAATTCTCTCTCGGAGCACCCTACCAGTAAGTAAAATACATTATTTCTTTGCTGTCTGATGTTCAGAGGCCTCCCAAGGATGTGACCAGGCTCCAGCTAAGGTCGCATCCTTGCATTGGTCTCCGTGCAGCACAAGTTGGTCCTCAGCACCCCATGAGCATCACCATGTCTCTTGGAGCCCAAAGGAGCCCTGCCTATGTGGTGTTGCCAGTGCAGCCTGCCCTGCCACAATGGGGCCCATGGAGGACAGCAAAGGACCTGCAGTTGTACTGCTGACCTGATGTTGTCTATCTCCATGGAGATCAGGGAAGCAGATCAATTAGAAGCAGCTAAATTGCACGTTCGTTGGGTAGTTAGTTGTCAACATTTCTGTTGACTTCTCCCTGAATTCTTACGGGTCGATTTTTCATGCTCCTGGAAGAATATTGCTGTTTTGGTGCTGGGCATGGAGATCTGACCCCGTAATGGGTCAGCCTTCAGGTAGGGTTCTTCATGCATGGGACCTGTGAACACAGCTTTCGATGGCTGCAAGCTCTACTTGGTAACTCCTTGGTTAGTTCAAGGGAGTGAGGAAGGACTTCTTTGGAGGAGTTTACAGATCCAGAAGTCACCTAAGGATTGTGCTGTGCTTTGCATGACCTGTAATGTTCATCTTTCTCTCCCCCACAGCTCCCTGCAGTTAAAGCAGCATTTGGTTATGTCCTTGGGAAGAGTGGTTCCCAAAGCTTCACCCTCTGAGGAAAGGCAATGAGCAGCTAATGCTGCTATCAAGGCCCTGGAGATGCTGCAAAACAAAAGCCCGGTTGTCCCAGTTTCTCCCCTTGAGGAAGGAGGGTCTTGTGGCTAAGATGCTTGGCTGGGGAGAAAGAAATGAATGTTCACTCCACGTTGACTTTGCATGTGGTCTCGCCACCATCGCATGAAAACCTCCCTTTGCCTCAGTTTCCCAGATGTAACATGCATATGTGCCTCCATTTCACCACCCCTCAAGCTCTTGCAGATAGATATAAGCTGATGAAAACCTTTGGGGATCTGATGACCCCACCCCTGCTCCCTCCCTCTCTTTGCTTGTGAGCTTTGCAGTGCAGCTGGCTGGAAACCACCAGGATGCTGAGACCAAGGTGCCCCACAGAAGGAGCATCGCGGGATGAGCTGCTGTTGAGACAGGGGCTGGTTTCTTGCCTGTTCAGCTGGGTGGTGGGTGCGAGCTGGGACTCCAAGGTGTGCTGCCGGGAGCTGGCAGCTCCTGCCTGTGCTGCGGGCAGCCTGGGGACGCGGGAAACCTGGTGCCTGCCCAGCCCGTCTCCTCTCAGTAGCTTTGTTTTTTTCCTGAAATGAAGGAGGAAATTATCACTGAGGGAGAAGGCTAAAATTTCTGTTCCCCAAGTGGGAGTGAACCTTTTTTTATTCCTCACGGAAACGAAATTCTGAGCCTGGAGAAACCCTTCATCTGCGACAGGGACCGTCTTCTCCTGTGGGGTGGCAGTGGCTGGTGCTCTGGGCCTGGGCTGGGCCTCTCCCCTTCCGTGCTTTGGCCATCTCTGATCCTTTCTCGTCTGCTTCCCTCCACCGATGCATACATCAGACTTGGTCAGGGCTTACGTTACCCTCAAGATCGCTTTCCACCATCTCTTCATCTTCCATTTTTCCCTTTTTCTTCTGCCCAGCATGCTGTCGCCTTTCCCTCATCTGGGGGGGGCGTGAAGCAAAAGAGAACAGGAATGGCTTTTTTTCTCTGTTCTCACTAAGAAAAACCCTTCCCCCAGACCTTGACACTCCTGCGAGATGGAGAGGCTCCTAGGGGGGCTGTGCCCGGGCTGGCATAGCACTGAGGGTCTCTGCCCGGGCACGCAGGCTGGGTTTGGACTGAAGGCAGCAAACGGGATGCTGGTTTAAAAACCACTTTCCTAAACCCAATCCAGGCAGGTCCGGGATGTGTTTCTTGTTACAGCACCAATGGGTTTCCCGTGACAGGCGGTGGGTGGCCTTCACATCAGCTGTTCTGGAGCTGCTGCCGGTTCGGGATTTCCTTGTTTTTACACTGAAACGATCCATCCTTTGAATTTCCCCCAGGCTATAGCAGACAGCTTTATTTCAGGCAGAGACATTCCTCCATCTCAGGGCCAGGTCCTTCCTCTAGGTCTCTCCAGCATCCTCCGCTCATCCCTGAAGGCACTGCAGGCTTGGGGGCCACCAAACAAACAACACAGCAGCAAACTCGGCAGTCGCCCTTAGCAGAGGCTGCAGTGCTGTGAGAAGGTATTGCTGTGTAACGGTGCAAAGTGGCTAATAATAATAGCATTACAATTAAGCTAATAACATTACTATATAGGGCTAACAAGAAATCTTGGCATCTGTGTAAAAACATAGGAAGAGCCCACGCAAGGTCGTAGCGAGGTCTGGCCTGGTGTCCTGTCTTCTGCCATGCCCCAAATGAGATGCTCTGGGCAGGAAGACGGGAGAGCGTATCAGTGTGACAGCTAATTTCTATGGGATAACTTTGGGCAGAGCAGTATGTTCGGCTTTACCGACACACGCGGTGTTCAGCCCGCAGGCGATGGATGCTTCGTACAGTCCAAACTGCCACCCCATGAACGGCTCCTCCGTTACAGTGGAGAGATGGGAAATTACTCCTTTTTTTCCTCAAGGGCTGTTTAATTCACCCAGCCAAAACTCACTTATTTCCTGCCCGTTTCCAAAAGCGTTAGCTCTTTGCTGGTGCGTGAACCCTGGTTTTGATATCACATGGACTGGCAAGAAGTCCAAATTAGCGCTTTTCCTTAATCTGGCCACTTCAGTGAGGGATGGGGACAAGGGGGAGAGGGATGAAGCTGCAAGCTGGCTTTGGAAAATAAATGTATTTGTACAAAAAGCTCCATTTTGAAAACCTTTGTCTTTTTTGGACACCACTCATAAAAAAAAAAATCAGTTCCAGCCATTGGAAGAATGAAGCAAAACAACCTCATTCCGAATTAATACTTATAAACTTCATTTTGTTTTGACTTTAAAAGTCTGTGTGTGCAGCAGGGTAGAGAGATGAGAAGCAGAAGAAAGGGGGTAGGAGCATACCAAAACCTCGCTGATGGAAAACATTTTTCACTTTGAAAAGTTTCACAAAGGAAGAGATTTTTCTTTTTTTTTGCCCCATGGTGGTGTTTCCAGCTGATGCATCTGAAAGGGTACTTTTTGTCTGGCATTTTCTCCAAAGAGGGAAAATACATTTTTCTGACAAGTTGGGTGAAATCAAGAAAGAAGGACAGAGTTAGTGCAGGTTTACACCTTCTCTATGCAGTACAATGGACGTCACAGGACAACTGCCAGTGGAGAATGAGGCTTTGTGCTTTGCTAAGGGGCTGGTTGATGGGGAGGAGGAGGTGCAGATGTGTGCACGAGGCTCTGATCTTTGGCTCAGAGGTGCTCGATTTGTGGTCGAGAATGTTTTCTTCCTTCCTTTTCTTGTGCATCCGTATCTTTTCAGTGCTGCCTACAGTGGTCATCACGTCTGTCCTAGAGGGCATAAGCCACCCGCAGGGGTGGTAGGCAGCTCCCCGTGACTCTAGTTGCATTCATCAGAAGTCTCCTGAGCTGTTTAAGTCAAACTCAAATGTCAATGTGTGTGCACAGGTGATTTTTTTTTCATATAGGTGCACAGATGTCCTAGCCTCCCTCTGGAAACATCAGGAGAAGAGACTAAAGCAGAGGAAACCCCCCCGCCTTTGGGAACCTGACAGTTTGCTTTCCCGTTGTGTTTCTAGAGTATTCGGTCCAAGGTGGAGCTCACAGTCTGGGACAGCCCTGAGGACATTGGCTTGACCTTCACTGCCACGTGCCAGGACGGTTTGTCCTATCCCGGGCTCAGGAAGTGCGGAGATCTCAAAATAGGAGATACGGTGAGTCTGCCATTCAGTGCATCCCCTGGAGAGGCTGTTTCACCCCCCGTGCAGCCGCTTACCTCTCTCAGTGAGTGGTCCCGGGCAATAAAATACAGCTTTGCTCATCTTCCTCTGCTGTCCTCATGCCGTGCCACATTAGTATGGAAACCCACTGAGAGCGGCTCTGCTAAAAGTGGCTCTGCATGGTATAGATCAGCCCAAGGTCAGCTGTGAAGAAAGAAGCAATACAGGCGTCTTGTCTACAGCACCCTGAGCCAAAAGGTCTTGATCAGGCAGCGGGATGCAGTAGTCAAGAATGGGCTTTTTTTTCCCATAATCCAGAAATTCATGTCACCCTCTTACCTGTGAAATTTTTATTGCTGTGGTCTGCTGGTCTTTTCCTAGTCTGTTAAATATTCAAGGTTTTCTTCTTATTGTTTGAGAATCCTGGCTTGTATTAGCATCCTGGCCTGTATCAGCAATAGTGTGGCCAGCAGGAGTAGGGAAGTGATTGTGCCCCTGTACTTGGCACTGGTGAGGCCGCACCTCGAATACTGTGTTCAGTTTTGGGCCCCTCACTACAAGGAGGACATTGAGGTGCTGGAGCGTGTCCAGAGAAGGGCAACGAGGCTGGTGAGGGGTCTGGAGAACAAGTCTTATGAGGAGCGGCTGAGGGAGCTGGGACTGTTTAGCCTGGAGAAGAGGAGGCTGAGGGGAGACCTCATCGCTCTCTACAGCTACCTGAAAGGAGGTTGTAGCGAGGTGGGTGTCGTTCTCTTCTCCCAAGTAAAGAGCGATAGGACGAGAGGAAATGGCCTCAAGTTGCACCAGGGGAGGTTTAGATTGGACGTGAGGAAAAATTTCTTCACTAAAAGAGTTGTCAAGCGTTGGAACAGGCTGCCCAGGGAAGTGGTTGAGTCACCATCCCTGGAAATATTTAAAAGACGGGTAGATGAGGCGCTGAGGGACATGGTTTAGCGGTGGACTTGGCAGCACTAGGTTAACGGTTGGACTCGATGGTCTTAAGGGTCTTTTCCAATCTAAATGATTCTAGGATTCTAATCTAAACCTGTCTTTCCCAGAGTGAAGATATCATGGTTAACTTCGGAGGTATTGCAAAAAAAGACAGGGTGCTCAGAAAGGCAGCAACGCTCCTCTCCTGCGTCCAGTTCCTAGGGTTACTGGATGACAGCACAGACTGAAAACATAGTTTGCCCCTTAATGTTAACAGTATACATGGCATAATCCATCCTGTGCTTTTTTATAAAAAAACAGAGAAGCGAAGCTTTGCTTGTTAAAATTTAATATTGATATAGATAAACGAGTGGCTGGGCTGCAGGGCTGGGGCGGGAGGGCTCAGACCAGTGGGGAGTCCCCTCCCCTTCTCCAGGCTTTTGCTGTCTGCAAGGACGCGGGTGTGGGTTCGTTAGCAGCCTGATTGCCTTATTTGAGAAGAGTGGCTCTGCAAACATACCAGAGCTCTAAGCGCCGAGGCATATAAAAATAGTTCGAAAGAGTCAACAGTAGCTGGATTTTTGCCCTGCCAAATAAGGATCATGCGAAGTGTTAAAAAGGGAGGTGGCCTCAGCTTTTTTAGCTGAATTTACTGGATCTCCGATCAGTGGGTAAAATCAATCCCTGGAGCAGTGCCACGCTAGCCACGTGCCCTCCTTGTTCCCACAGCAAAGCCCGAGCCTCCGAGGTAGCAGAGTTAATCTGGTGGTTGATCCTGGGCTCCCAGCTTTGGCACGAGCAGGGGGGTCGCTACAGCCACTGCAGCTCATGCTATAAAGGGGTTTGGCAGCGGGTACATGCGTGCCAGTATCCGCAGAGGCTGCTGGCGTGAGTGGGAATGACTGGCTCTCCTGATATGGATGAATTGGGGGTACCTTCTGCCCAGGCAGCAGAAGATTTGGGGTGCGGCAGGGAGCCGGCACTGGTACCTCTCCCATTTTTGGTGCACCGGAGTATTGAGGTGCCTGCACAGGCAGACATGCCACAGGATCGCAGGGGTCCCATCCCTCCTTCCCCTCCTGTTCAGCTGCTCTTGGCCCCATTACTTCCACATGGATCAAGATTAGACTCCTGCTAAGAAACTTTCCCCAAAGAGGGTAATGCTGGCACTGGAGCCTAATCTGCTGGTGTTTAGTCCTGGGGGCATGGGTGTCAGTGGGTGAAAGGGAGCAGGATTACCCTGATCCCCTTAGCTTGCTTTCTGATCTCCTTCTCCTCTGTAATTTGAGCTTGTTGCCTAATTGCTTCAGGCCTTGGGAATGGGAGGAGGTCAAGGGAGGCTTCAAAGAGCGCAGCTTTCCTGGCTGGAGGTGGCTGCTGCGCCGCCGTCCATCCGCACATCACCCCTTGGCATGCGGGATGGCGCAGGCAGTGAGAGCTCGAGGTGACCCCAAATGTCTCCAGAGAAAAATCATTCCCTCCTGATGCCTAGGAAGGGGGCTCATTTCCTTGGAATAAGGTTAATCCTCTTTGCTAACCAGCAGCTCTAGGCAGCGCTGGGTGGCCCGAGACCCCACCAAACAGCAGGATTAAATAGGGGGCCAAGCAAGCAACCATAGGATAGTCTTAGTTTTCCCAAGGAGAAAATCCCTGACACTGGATTGTAGCAACAGAAAATGAGTAGGGGGGTGATGTATAACCATATAATGATGTGTCACCCTTCTGAAGCCAGTATTAACAGAAGCATCCATCAGAAGTGGCCCGTTAGCAGTGTGCTGAAAGCTTGGGGCTGTGTGACTGATGCATATCTGTATGTGCAGATCAGGATTCCCATAAAACCTTCTAAATCCATGATCTTGTAGGCAACTCGGGGCCTTGTGCTGCGTTGGTTAGATCCTTGCTAGTGCTTGGTTTCCACAGAGTTGTTTATTTTCAATAGCATGAAAACCGGGCTATTTTCTAGAGTTTTGCCCTGTTTATTTCATGGGAATAGGCAGGCTCCTTCCCGCTCCACAGAAACCAACAGTGCCTGATGGGGAAAATTGCTGCTAATGGCTGACAGTAAAGAGTTTTAAAATGTTAAGGATGCCAAACCCCTTGTGGGACTGGCAGATGTCACTGCATTGAGCTGCAGATGCCCTCACTAGATGTGCAATTGTTTGGGGGGTTTTTTGCACGCCTGGGAGTGAAGCTCAATGCACTGAGTGTGGCCCCGCTCCAGGGAATCGCTCCATGGCTTTTCCTCAGGACATTTGCCTTTCCCTCCTGCCTCCCTTCCCGGGACACCCTTGATGGATGTTCTGGGGCCGTGCGTGTTAACTTACACCTCAACCTGCCCCCCCCAGGTTTCCTTCGAGGTGGCCGTGGAGGCGCGGAGCTGCCCCGCCGAGGACACCTCCCATGCCTTCACCATCAAGCCCGCTGGCTTTCGGGACACGCTGGAGGTGGCGGTGACCTACAACTGCCTCTGCGGGTGCACTGGCCGGGCTGCGCCTGCGCCGGCCAGTGGCAAGTGCAGCGGCAATGGGACCTACGCCTGCGGGCTGTGCGAGTGCGACGCCGGCTACCTGGGGGCCAGGTGTGAGTGCGAGGAGGGCGCCAGCGGGGACATGCACCACGCCATGTGCCGGGAGGCGGAGGGCAAGCCCCTCTGCAGCGGGAGAGGGGAGTGCAGCTGCAACCAGTGCCTCTGCTACGAGAGCGAGTTCGGAAACATCTATGGGCCCTTCTGCGAGTGTGATGACTTCTCCTGTGCCAGGTACAAGGGAATCCTCTGCTCAGGTAGGAGCCTTTCCTCCCTTGCGCCCTCCGCTTTGCGGGGATGGGGAAACTGCCCCGAAATGGGGAAGGCTGCTGGGCTGGTGTGTGCAGGGTGTGCGAGGGGCTGCGCCTGCCCCGCCTGCCGAAATCTGCCCTGTTTCTGGAGGGATCTGCGCTCCCTTTCTTGATGGAAAAAGGGAGGCAGAGGTTTAAGTGCATCCACACTAATGAGCAAAAAGTGCATTAACCCCATCAGAACTGAGTTTCCAGCGTTAGAGTGAAAGGCTCTCTCCTGGCAGGCTTGTCCTTTGCCCAGGCCCCACGGAGATGAGCAGAGTCTTGGCTTTGTTGTTGTTCTTTTGACATAACCATGCACATCTCTTGCACACTGAAGTGTATCCCCAGGAAAGAGTAAACCAGCACAGGCTTGAATCCTCTGAAGCTTTTTGGTGTCTTCTTAGGTTGGATTTCTTCTATGTGCTCCATCCTTCCCTGCATAGGCAGAAACAATCTTTTTTTAAGGATGAAGCATTTGAAGTAATCCACTGGTGCAGCGCAGGTGAAAGGAAGGTTGTGTTTCAGTCTGTTACTTATTAGAGAAAATCCATGTTGAAGATTCCTAAAGGTGTTTTATGTATAGATTTTTCTGCCCACTGAGAAAACAAGTCATTCACTTGGAAAAATGTAGCCAGTCAGCTTTGCTTAAGCAAAGGTAGAGGAGTTATTTAGCTGTGTTTGCTAAAACGGCTTTAATTCCTTGTCAGCCTGAGGTCACATAATTTACCTTGCACGTAATTGCCTGGATTAGCCCTCGGACATAATTCCCTCAGTTGGAGCTGGGCAAAAGGTTATTCTTTAAAACTTGCCTGCTTTCAAGCAAGTCAAATATTTCCTTAACTGAAAATCTTGGACAAAATTTCCAAAACAAGTGTAAGCTTGGGAAAATACCTATTTTTCACATTTTCTCCAGGGAAGTGGTGGGTTTTTTTCCTGCTGTTTATCTTGCCCTGCAGGTTTCTGAGCTGGGCAGTGATGGGGCACCTTTTGGTTGCAAGTTTCTGGCTGTTTGAGACGATCGTGGTGTTAGGCAGGTAAAGGACGTTTGTGCTCATTTTTCTGTAGCCTGGCTAGTGATGTTTCAGCACTGCTGAAGGTGGGGCAGGCGATACCCCAGTTTTTGGCATTGCCCTGGGGCTCCCCATTGCAGGGCAGTGAGAAAGGCAGGTACCACCTCCCGCAGTGGCTGTCACTGACCAGGAGGGTTGGAGCTCCCCTTGCTGATGCAGGAGTGGAAAGAGGGATGAGCAAGCAGGAAAAAGGTATATTTGAAGGTAGATGGGGAAAAAAATAAACTCAACTGTGAAGTAATTGAGAGCAACGCTGCCTGGGGGTTCTCCATATGACCATATTGCTTTGGTAGCATCATCCCTCCCAAAAGGAGTATATTTAATAGCAAGCAGGGCAGTGATGCTAAAGAGAGGTTGGAAGTTACCGGTGTAGCGGTTGGTACTGCAAGAGGAGGACATCCCTTTACTTGAATTTCCATTTCATCAGGAGAGCCAGAGCTCTGCCGCTCCACTGGAAAACAAGCTGTCTTTCTTCCGTTGCACCTGCTTTCTTCTGTCCCTGTGGAGGGCTTCTGGTGCTGGGAAGAGCAGCATGGCTGGTTTGGGATTTGCCAGACTTTTTTAAAGTCATTTAAAAGTCCTTTTTATAGCTATGAAAGAAAATAAAGGGTAGGCCAAGTGGCCTCTTTGCTCCAGGGGCGGGATGGAGTCCGACACAGCTGCATGGGGTGATTCTCCCTATGCCTCCTGATATTTCTATTGCTGTTGGTTTGTTGGCTCTTTTTTTTTTTAAATTCCAGCAATTACGATGCTAAATCTGAGCTGTAGCAAGCGCTGTGCCAATGACATAACATTTTGAGGTGGTTTTGCCAGCCCAAGAGGGCCATGACTTTTGGGCTGACATCAGAAGTGACTGAGCTTGCACAGCGGGGCTGTGCCCAAAGCTGCGCCTAACAAACAGCCCTCTGCTACACAAGCATCTCTGGTGGCTTCCAGCAGATGTGTGCTCTCTCCTCCCTACAAATGGGGCCTGCTTGAAAAAGACGGTGTGTTCAGCTTGGCACTGAACATCTCAGTCCACCAGCATGTGTCGACTTGGCAGCCAGGGGAGTTTGGGTCATACCTTGGGTTAAGGATGTCCCCTGGAGTGGTCGCATGGGGTCCTGTCACTGCTTTTGTTCCTGCAAGGGGGAGAAATGACACCCTGACCTCCCTCTGTCTTCTCCTGGGCACAACGTCTGTCCCTGAAAGGCCCTGGCATCCTGGTGCCCACCACTCTCGCAGGCTGAATCCCACCAACAGGTTTTAGCAACAGCAGAA